ATGCAACTCTATTACCAACATATAGTAATTAGGGATGACTATGGGATTTTAGAAATACTTTTGGGAAATGGCTGTGGTTTTGCATACATACGAGGTTAGAATTGCATCCGTGTATGTATTGGTAGCTCAATTAATTTCTGAGGAGTTGTAAATTGTGTGCAAGCTAGGATATAGGATTGAGTCATGACAGTAGTAGTGTGGGAGTTTTATTCTCTTGTGAAAATGTTTGTGAGTATCAAACACTGGTCATCTTAATTAATGAATTGCTAAGTTACCGTGATTTATCCCCATAATTTTGTAACGAAGGATTTCGCTTTTTATGGGCAAGATCTATATATGGGTCATATGGTAACATTTTCTATTAATATTTCCAATTATGGTGATAGTTTAATATAGCCACTATGGTGTGGTTTGTAACATAAATAACAGTTTTCGTTATAGAGCACATAGGCTATACATGTCGTTGCTCCTCTGATTCCTTAGGTTATGGCATATACACCATCTATTTTGTCTGGAATGAAGTAAGTGTTAATCACTTTATTACAGTTCATGAGAGGGTCCAATCCCAAGCTTGTTATCCAACACGTTGAGTTCACCCAGTTGTCTGTGGTATTGGTGACGTCCAAAACTTTCGTTTCAAGAGAGTGTCCTAAATGGTTTTGAGTTAGTTCGTTATTTAGTTATTTTAGATTAATTATTTTTGGGTTATCAGTTATTTGTGTAACAAGTTGGGATCTCCAACTTGAGGGAGAGTGTTATGGAATATATTTAATATATGGAATCTCTATAGATTAGACCGTCGTAGGGAGGTAAGCATATGGAAACTTATTTCCTATTCGAAGTCTTCTAGCATATATTTATAGGGTTTTATATTCTCTTTTTAATAAACAACTGATGACAACATATTCAGAAATATTTTCTTTACTTTCGTAAAATACAGGAAATATGGCCTACAACAATTTGGGATGCAACTATGACAGTCGTTATACCCTACACCACGGCGCACATAGCACTGTGCGCCGCGCGCCTCCCAAAACGACGTCGTTTTGGGGTCGTTTTGGGAGGCGCGGTAGGAAGTTGCTGGGATTATGTGTATTTGCTCACACAATTATGTGTATTTGTTCATACAATTATGTGTATTTGTTCATACAGTTATGTACATTTTTTATACAATTATGTACATTCTTTTTATACAATTATGTACATCCGAATCAGAAAATTTGTGTGTATTATGTTAAGAGTTGATGTATATTATGTTAAAAGTTTATGTTTATTATGTATTATGTTAGATTATGTGTATTATCTTCTAAAAAGAGTATGTATATTTTGTTATATAATTATGTACATTCATGTATACAATTATGTGTATTCTAGTATAACATTATGTACATTTTTTAACAGCGAGTTTTTTTTAAAGAAAAAATTACTGCCATTCACTGGGGCGGGAAATTTCAAAAAAAATAAATAAAATAAAACGACGTCGTTTTGCATCTGGGCGCACAGTGCAACGCGCGCCGTGGTGTAGGATATAAATTGCCCAACTATGATGGGAGGTTGCTCCATTCTGTATCGCTTCTATGCCCATGAACATTGCATGTCCAAGCACGAGTGGGTTGTTATACCATGGAAAACTATGATTGATATTGTATTTGTGAATTCTGATTTAAAATTTGTGTGTTTAGAATTAATATATTATATTTGTACTTACAGTCAATGTTTCAAAATAAGTTAGGCGTCCCCTAGTCGTCGAGGGACGAGGGGGCGCCGATTTTCCGGGGTCTAGGTGCCCGATTTTTTATTTTTTATTTTTTATTTTTATTTATTTTTATTTTTTTAAAAAAAAAAAACAAAATTAAACTAAACTTTGTAAAAATTTAATAATAAAACATTAGGTTTCTCTAGTTTTCTCTTACAAACTATTTAGGTAAGTAATTGTAAAATTGTTCAAATTATTGTTGAAACCATCTAAATACATAAAAAATTAAAATTAAGAGCAAAAGAAGCAATTTTTTGAGAAATTGGAGAGGCAAACGGATAATCGAGTCAAAAGTTATGCCTTGTCATAGTTTCTACACTTTGCAACTAGTAGAAACTTCAACAAGTCAACACTAATATTGTAAAATGCGGTATTTTGGTCATTTGACGGTTAAGCCGGCTAGGCGGCCGCCCGACCGCGGAGGAGGCCGATTCTGGCCTTCCTCGCCGCGGCCGGGCGGCGCCTAGCGCCTAGGCACGATTTTTGCAACACTGCCTATAGTTAATAATTTATGTATATATGTAAAAAAATTGAAGGCACATAACATATAATTAGTTAATTACTAACACATACCATGATAAGAGCATTCCTAATTGTTGTAGTTTTTAAGGAGTTTTTGCATGTGTGATTAGGAGAGAAGATGAAAAATAAAAAAATAAAAAAATAAAAAAAAAAACATGAGTGTCAGAATTTTAAAAAAAAAAAAATGTTAAGAAGGGGTCTAGGTGCGTGCAGTACATGTGCCCAGAGGGCGCGCCAAGTACGCTCAACGCGCAGTAAATGCACAGTTGTTTCCTTTTTCTCTCTCTTCATTGGTCAAAAAAAATCATTTCTCCTGCAAATATAATTTCTCCTCTCTCCTCTCTCTTCCAAATCATCATCTCTCACCTCCAACTCATCAAAAAAACCAAGAACAAATTTCTATTTGAGATGTTCTAACTAAAGATACAAATTATTAACTGTTGGTACATAATATGTTAACTGCAGACACATAAGAAGTTGGATAACATGTTATGTGTTTGCAGTTAACAAATTCTGTACCTATAGTTAATATTTTATATGTTTGTAGTAATCATGTTATGTGTCTGTAATTACCATATGATTTAGCTTCAATTATTTTTTACAGGTATAGAAACCGTTAACTTGAGATACAGAATCTTTTAATTACATGTATAAAATTTGAATGTTATTTTTGTTCAAGATCCACAATACAAGGTAGACCATGGTCTATTGTATAATTTGCCCGTGTTGTGAAGGACGGGTAAGACCATCTCCAACCTACATTACACCAAACACCAAATTTCTCAACTAAATGTCACATCAAAAGGAATATTCTCAACATATTCTCACACCAAATTTTATTCATCTCCAACCCATTTACACCAAAACACCAAATATCTACACTAAAAGAATTTGATTTCTCAATTATTAGTTCGAATTTAATTAGTTTAATATAATTTAGTTCAAACTTAATTAGTTTAATTTAAAATATAACTTGTGATGTAAATAATAGTTTTTATTAATATTAATTTTTTAAATAACATTAATAATTAAAAAATGAATTTAACAATATTTTTAAAAATCTATTTTATTCCACAATAATAATATAGCATAAAACATGTAGTACATTTAACATAAAACATGTATTTGAAATTTTAATTAATATATATTTAATATTAGTCTTGTTTCGATCGACTCAATAAGATCTTTAAAATAGTATAATTTATATTTATTATTACAAACTTTAAATATAAGTATTTAACAAAATTCAAAAATCACATATAAAACAAATAAAGATACATTTAAAATTAGAAAAGGAAATAAGGGTAGGAATGTAATTTGATTGCCCCTCCTAGATTTGACGTTGATAAACTGTGTCGCGTCATATATGGTGCAACACTGTACATCAACGCCAAATAATTTGGCGTTATACCGTTTTGGTGCCTCACATTAGAGCTTCAAAAAATGGTGAGATGACGAGATGGTGTTGATTTATGCTGTTTTACTGCCCCTCGAAGATGCTCTAAGCGGTTACACAATTACATATAATTAACATGTGTCAAAATAATTTATTTTATAAACAAATCATGCATTCATGGGAGAAGTGTGTTTAAGAGAGTTTCTAAAAGAGTAAAAAATTAAAGTAAAGCATTCCTCTTTTATATTTGATTCTCTTAATTACTTTGTGATGAATTGAAGCAAAGTATTAATTAAAGTCATTTGATTCTCAATTCATATGATTTAGGAAAAATCATTGTTTTGATCTTTCAATTATTTTGCAACTATTAATTTAGTTCCTAAGCTAATTTTTAATGTAAACGAATTTGGTCCTCGAATTGTTTTAAATTCACCAATTAAATTCCTTTGACACTATGGTCAATCGTTATGTTGTGGAACCGTGTCCACCTTTCATAATTATTGAACTATATGTTCATAATTATAAAGCTATATATTCATAATTGTTGAACTTCATATTCATAATTATTGAACTCTATATTCACAATTACAGAATTCTATGTTCATAATTACTGAACTATATTTCATAATTATAAAGCTATACATTCATAATTTTTGAACTTCATATTCATAATTATTGAACTCTATATTCACAATTACAGAATTCTATGTTCATAATTACTGAACTATATTTCATAATTATAAAGTTATATATTCATAATTTTTGAACTTCATATTCACAATTATTGAATCTCTATATTCATAATTACATAACTATATGTTCATAATTATGTTCACAACTCTATGTTCATAATTATAGAACAATATATTCATAATTTTTTAATTATATTTATAATTTTTGAATTATATATTCATAATTTGCGCACTATGGTCCTCCAGGAAGGACCATAGCTGGTTAAAATTTGATAGTTGAAGGACCATACATAGTTAACTTAGACCACAGATAATAACAATTTGAAAGTCAAAAGATCACGTGATCAATTAGAAAATTTAGGACTAAACGTGACGAAACCACTATACTCGGATGACCCAAGATAATATTAACTTTTATTCATTTTTATAAATAAATGATGGATGCAAGGAGGAAGTGTGATGTTGAAGAGTTTGTAAAGAATGGAAGTAAAGCATTTCTCCGTATGATTCTCTTAATTGCCTTGCTCTAAGAAAAGTATTGGAGCCATTCATTCTTCTACACATTTTTGAATTCATATGCTATATATAAGTGTTATTTAAATGTGTGGATTGGAATCAAGAAGACAAAGATTCTCATCGGCAGCAGTCTTACATTCTCTTCCATTGTCATCAATATAGGTGAGTTATTATATTAATTCCTCATTCATCTTTCTGAAAGCAATGTGTAATAAAGCTATATAGTTTCTACTTTCTAATGAACTAAATATAATTAATACATTCCTTAACTTGATGCCTTTGATTGTCATGTTTTGAAGTAACTTATTGAAGTAGAGTTTTCACATAATTGATCTATATATAGTATATACGAGCTAGCTGAATTGACATACACTTTGTAAAAACAACATGAAAATGATCATGATTAAAATCAATCCAAACAAGTACCTAATTCTCTTTCTTATATTTGACAGACATTCAAAAAAAAGTTCTTTCTCTATCAAAGACAATGACTTCACAAAAACAAGCAATTCATATTGATGAGACGATCATCGTGGAACAAGTAAAAGCCACGCATAATCTCAATAGTGGAATGGATGTCAATGCGACTTTTGTTCTCAATTGTGTGGAAGACATTTTCAACTTGAATACGGTTTGTTAATATATTCATCATTTACTTTCATACCTTTAAAGCATTTTTAAAATACCATTGCACGCACCTATAGTGATTTAATTTTATCACACAATAACCTAAATGCATTACAAAATATAAATGCTTATTAGTATTATGTATCATGAAAGTAACCACGCAAAAATTTCACAAATGGTATTAATTACAAACAATTTAATTTGAAATGGTTTCATTCTAGTTTTCATCACACTTTTGTGCAAATGGAGCATGAATTTAGGTTCTACAAGAAGCAATGCAAGATAAGTTACAGCTACAAAAGCATATTCAAAAGAAGATCACATTACATGTATTGCAACTCGTCTTTGAGGTATGCTATATAAATCTCTTATTCCGCATAGTAATATATAGTTCAAATTATTATTATTTAAAAAAAAATTATTTTCATTTTTATTTTCAGATAGAGTGCCGCTGTTTAAATCATGTTGATAGTCACTCAATAGCAATTCATCTATTGAGTGTGCTATCAATGTATCCATGGCATACGAAGGTAGTGATGATGCTTGCATCATTTGCGATCATATGTGGAAAATCTAAAATTGCGTTACAATCATGCTATCGAAGAGGATTGACATTCAACTCGGGAATTCTGAAGCAAAGTCTAAAGTCAATGCATTCCTCTGACAATGAAAGATTAGTCATTAACGACTCAATAAAATCAATCTTGGACCTCACGAAGCTTACAATTGAGCTTCGAGATTCGTCATCAATGATTTTGACTAATTATTGGATAGCAAGATCGGTTGTTGCTTATGCTAGTCATCTTATTTTGGGCCTCGAGTAAGACCATTTAATTTAACTTTGTATAAATTATATACATTTGTGTTTGAGGTACTTTTACCCAAATCAAATTTATACAATAGTACTTATAAATAATTAATTATAATATCTCATATAAATATATAAAAATTATCTAAATAATTGATTTATTTATGTTTTTATATTTTTTAAATTAATTAGCATTGTTTTCTTTTTCAGGTCCCAAAAGCAGCTAAAGGAACTTTCCAATTCATCCACCAAAATCAAAGAGATAATGACTTTTAGCCTCCCAGCACTAGGTTGGTTCAATATTTTAATATATAGTTATGCAATGCTTATAATTAATGTGTAATTACATAAAATATATAATTTATATTTCATCTTCTTTAAGCTATTATAAATTGACTTAAAAGTCAAACTTTGTTTTGCAGTCAAATGATTCATAATTTTTCTAAAGCAGGTGAAAATTATTGGAATAATTTATTAAATCAAAAATCACAGTAATTTGATGGATTTTAGTACAAATTAGTGTCATGTATATTGATGGAAGAATAACAACGAGATTAATTATAGATTTGTGTATGTAGAGGTGAAAAGGACGGAAGAAAATTATCATGCGTTGTTAAATGCTTTTCATAATTCTTCAAATATTGTGGAAGTTCTTAAATTAATATTCAATGTCAAAAATGATAAAGAGAAGCCAATTCTTGACGGCATCAGGATGCGGGTATGTATCATCCTTTGTTCTTACTTTTCTTATAATATATTTGTAAAAAAGTCCATAATCAAGTGAGAACCAACATTAACCTGCGAACTGCAAACTTGTGAACGATTGCACCCCACTTACTACATGATTGCACCGTACCCAGATGGGGTTGCACCGTACCCAGATAGGGTTGCACCGTAAGATCCTCCAGGCTTATCTGGAAGTCGTAGCAATACAATCATGTAGTAGTTGTAGTGCAATCCTTCATAATTTCGCAGATCGCAGGTTAAGGTTGGTTCTCCCTAATTAGAAATCATTTGTGAAATACTAAACTTGATCTGATCACCTCTAAATATATCTTTTATATTAGGAACACAATAATAGGCCTGTGGGATTACATTTGTTTCAAGGGCAGGGAGTGCTATTGTTGATATCATCCGGCAAACATTTCCCCTTTTATGCATATTATTATGCTTCCGAACGAGTAAAGATGATTTGGGTTCCAATTACAAATGATCTGGAGGAGGAACATATACAAATGCCTGACCGTAAGTTTAACTACTATTGTGTATTGGATCCACAAAAATGGATTGCGCCAGAATTCATAAGATTTCTTAGAGACGAGTGCTTTCCAACCTTTCAAGTCGGAGGTGATCCTATTGCCATTTCATTAGACAACCGAGGAAGACTAGTCCATTCTAATGCACTGCACATGATTTTCACATGGGGATTTCAACTAACTAATGAAATAACAATGAGATCAGGTGACATAATTCCTTCATTAGAAACCGAGTTGAGGGAAAGGACTTCTGATGCTGACCGTGTGATCGGTGATATTGACGAGCAAACCCAAGAATTTGTGAGAGAAGTTCGCAAGAAGATCAATGATTGGGTGGAGGATATTATGACAAAGACTAGAAGTTCGGTATGTTCATCTTATATAATTAAACTCTTTCTTAATTACTTGTTTCATGTACTTGTCAAATTGTATCATTTTATACAAATATAATATTTTTATTCATCAGTACCGCTCTTACAATTATACAAGTGAAAGAGAACAAGCTCTATGGGGTAAAGAATCTTGGAATCTCAAGCTTGTGAGTAAAAATTACACAAAACTTAAGAGATGGGTGAGTCAATCTTCAACTTCGTTCTACTTAAAAAAATTTATCATGTCCTCTTGCTTAGGAATTGATTATTACTCCGTATTTAATTTGATATTTTTATTGTTTAATCAATTTGGCCCAGTTTGATAACATATAGTTAGCTTATCAATCAATTTTGGTTTATTTGACCACTATTAGCTGTTTGACTTGGTTAAACAATCAATATGAGTATTTGATTAATTAGTTTTTTGTAACAATTTATTGCTCTAAAATGCAAAAATTTGCTCAAAGTAGTTTTTTCGATCAAATATTTTGAGAAAGTCATTTTGCATGTAATCAGCTATAAGTTATAAGCTATCAACTAACTGCTAATTAATTTACCAAACATTTTTTTACAATCAGTTAATACTATCAACAATTCAAACGACTCACTAAATCAATCAGCTAATAGCTATTTACCAAACACCCCTTTGTATAACACATTAACAAAACATTGTTATACGGATTTTTCTTTGAACAGATTGATGATGAAAATTACATTTTCTTATGCGGAGGCAATAACAACAAACAAGTTCAAGAATTTACTCGTAAGCTCGAGGAAGTTCGTTCCAAAATCCAAGTGAATATAAAAATTGCCTACATTGGAAGAAGTGGAAAAAATGTCAACAAGGTGAGAAGCGTGTGTGATTATGCATTTAATTCACGCACTGATAAGTTCTTTTGGATACGACTTCGCATGGCATCGTCTAGGATTCAATATTTAAGTAAGGCTGGGCTTGATGAAGAGAATGATGAAATTATGCAAGGACTCAAAAAATTGTTAGCGTACGAAGCTGAAGGTTCGGCAGTTGGAGTATGGGCATTGTTAAGCAAAGGGAACAGAATAATTGCATGCGACATGGGAGAAAAAATTTACGGAGTCATGAATGAGTATGAAAAATGGGAGGACAACACACAAGAGAATGGATTTGACAAGGCATTTAAGGATTGCTATGAGACGATGCTCAGTTCTTCCTCTCTTACTTTAACTCAACACCCCTGTTGTTCTCTCAATTACCCATCTAATTTGGACGAAATCTCAGAGACCGTATCGTGCCCTCAATGTAATCATAACATGCAAAAATTTGTCACCTTCTCATGTTGTCATGGCTCGACGACTTCTCTGCATAATTTCAACATGATGAACTAGCTAGTAAAGCTATAATCTGCATTGCACTTTTTACTTGTAATGTATTTGTTATCCAGAAGTAAGAACATGTGATGTATTTGTATATCTTCTGGTGCTTTTTTAATTTCTTATATGGAAAATGAAATTTTGACATCTCCTTAATGACATAAATTTTGTTAAAATTAGCCTATAATTTATTGCCAAATGAAATTGTAGATGTCATGCTCTCTACATGTTTAACAATTATTCATTCATAAAACGTAGGCTATGTTTGGCAAACCTAACTGAAAAGGTAGTTGAAAAGCTATAAGCTAGAAGCTAAAAACTGAAGAGTTGTTAACTAGCTGATTATGCTTTAAAAATAATATAATAATCACATTATTTAAATTTTATGAAAATGTCCTTTTTAGTCATTTTATATTTATCAGCTTATCTACTTTAAGCATAATTAGCTAATTAATAGCTCTTCAGTTTTCAGCTTCTAGCTTATAGCTTTTCAACTTTCAGCTAGGTTTGTCAAACATAGCCGTAGTAAGCATCAAGAAAGTATAGTTAAACATAAATGCCAAAAAAAAAAAAAAAAAAAGGTGTAAGTGAAAAGCAAACATGAAGAGTGGAGAAAAGTTTTTGCTTGTTCATCACTGAAGTTTCCTTCAGAAAAAGCCATCTCTACATCCATCTTTCATATTTTGCTCTTTTCTTTTTTTTGTTGTTTATTAGGGCCTCCAAATGCGGAAGACTAAAAAAAAAAATAAAAAAAAAATAAAAAAAAAAAAAAAAAAAAAGACTAAAACGGAGGTTGATGGATGCCAAAAACTGTTATATATAGGTATTTGGATTAAATGATCCTTATGATGAGAAAACTAAGAATCAATCTCAGCTTTATATATATATATATATATATATATATATATATATATATATATAACAGATCAGATTAAATTTAAAAAAAAAAAATACGATGATACTTTTGTAATTATCACCAATTTACTGTGCAATCTTTAACACTGTACTCTGCACTTCTTGAAATTTTCCAGAAATTCACATTATGTTGTTATAAAGTGCACATTTAGTATTAAAAATTGCACTTTGCAAAATGTAGGAATTTAATGCACTTAGGGTTTGGATTTTAGAGTTGATAACTGAGCATTTTTGTTTTATTTAGTTTAGGTGTTCACTTTTTACTGCTTAGGGTTTAACATTTAGGATTTACGTTTACAATTTAGTTTTTCATTGATTTTTTAAAATTAAAGTTATCCCGATATGCACATTATGTTGTTAAAAAGTGTAGAATATAATGTTAAAAGTTGCACGGTAAAGTTGATAATGATTACAAAAATTCCATCGTGATTTTTTTTAATTGATCCGATATATCCTATTTTTACCGATATAAGGATGACATTCGTTCTTAGTTTTCTCTTGGGAGTGTGTTCTTAAAGGATCCAAAGTCTCTCTCTCTCTCTCTCTCTCTCTCTCTCTCTCTCTCTCTCTCTCTCTCTCTCTCTATATATATATATATATATATATATATATATATATATATATATATATATATATATATATATATGAGTAAATACCCAAAATAGTCCCTCGACTATAGCTAAATTCACAAATTGGTCATCGACTTTCAATTTCAACCAATTAAGTCCTTAACTTTGTAATTTTAACACAATTTGGTCCTCTGTCTATTTGATCGTTTGTTGACTGTGATTTTTGAGGATATATATGCAATTTCATGGTCCATCGTCGATTTTCTAATGTTCTGGTTGCATTTCCCGACCGCACTGTTACACTTGAATCCACTGTCGAAAGCAATCTACCAAATCTGGTCGCCTTTCTTCATCCTCCCTTTGGATTCAATGTAGTTGAGTTCGTACCAGAGTGAAGAAGACGACGTGTTTCCGAATCAGTGCAACGCCATCTTGGAGGCCTCCATGTGCTCCGACGAGAGCTGAAGGTTCTTCTGGAGATCGTCGATCACGGTCAACAAACGGTCAAATAGATGGAGGACCAAATCGTGTCAAAATTACAAAGTTAAGGACTTAATTGGTTGAAATTGAAAGTTGAGGACCAAATTGTGAATTTAGCTATAGTCGAGGGACCATTTTGGGTATTTACTCTATATATATTGAAGTCGGTTCAGGTGCGGGTGGGCGCCTCAGGTGCGGGTGGGGGTTTAATCTGAGCCATTGATCTTGCTTAAATCAAGGTCGAGGATTACACACACACACACACACACACACAAAAAAAAAAAAAAAAAAAAAAAAAAAAAAAAAAAAAACGCGATGGCATTTTTGTAATTTTTGCTTCTAAGTCAAATTTAAGGTGTGTAAGTTTTGTGCTTAAGGTGCGTGAGATTTGTGTTTAAGGTGCGTGAGTTTTGTGCTTAATGTGCGTGAGTTTGTGCTTATGGTGCGTGAGTTTTGTGCTTAATCTGAGTAGTTGTTAAAACTTAAAGTGCGTGAGTTTTGTGCTTAAGGTGCGTGAAATTTGTGCCTAATGTGCATGAGTTTGTGCTTAAGGTGCGTGGGTTTTTGCTTAATGTGAGTAGTTAGTAAAACTTAAAGTGCATGGGTTTTGTGCTTAATGTGCGTGAGCTTGTGCTTAATGTGAGCCATTTTAAAATCTTAAGTGCGTGGGTTTTGTGTTTAATGTGCTTCGTTCTGTGCTTAAGGTGCGTGATTTATGTACTTAATGTGAGTGATTTGTGTTCTTAAAGTGCTTTGTTTATGTGCTTAAGTGCGTGGTGATTTGAGTACTTAAGGTGCGTCATGTTAATGCTTAAGGTGCGTCCAACCGCACAATCGCACAGGAAGCATCACCCGCACCTGAACTCTTCCACACATATAAATATACTAGTTTTGACACGCGCTTTGCGCGATTAGACCAATGCCCAATGTGTATTTATAAATTAGTTTTCCTTAATTGGTTAAAGTATTCATATAATAATGAGAGAAAGAAAAATGCGAAATGAATAAAAGATAATGAAATAATCTTAGTGCTTATATATTTTAATAAAAGATAAAGAAATTTGAAATAGCTAAAATATAATTAAAGTAAGTAAAAACAAATAAACCACTAACTAAAGCTGACTATCTATAATGAAAAGAGTAGTAATTTGAGCAGAGTAAAATTTATTTTTCTTAGTGCATGTTTGTTGAGGCTCGGAATTGTCTTCTTCTTTTCCATCTTTAGTGAAGTTGAGTTTCCTTTTTGCTGGTTGTGTGTTTATTGCATGTTGTTTACTTGTGGTAGTGAATGACAATGAATCGTGCAATGATGTTATGGTATATAATACCATATTTTTGCCTTGTTGTGTGTAGGATTGAGACCTCAATTGTATTATATATTCTTCATCTTGTAAGCGGTTATTGATATGTTGAAATCGTAGCTGTTGACCCTGCAAGATGTTTATGTAGTTAGTCATAGGTTAATTTACTATAAAACATGAGTGGTTGTGGGTGGTAAAGGATGAATACCTCTTGTTCCAATTGCATAACTTGTTTGCTCGTAAAGAGTAATAGTTGTTCAACACATTTCCCAAACACAGACGCAACAAGGCATCCACTTCCATCAGTAATTTCCACATCCAGTTTACACCTATTATGAATGTTTAGATTAGCATTGTTGTATTATGTTTGTGTAATGATTAAATTGATACTGACCTCCTTCTAACAAAAAAGAAAAAAAATAAAAACTATGTATAAAAATTGTTACTTACCGTGGTGTTCCCTGCATGCAATTAAATTGTTTGTCACTTTCCGCGTAAACCTTTTTCATACAATGACTACATCCAATGTACAATGTATTTTTTATCTGATGCTTAAAGCTGATTTTCCCTTTTATCCAAGCAAGTTTAATCTACAAGTTGTCATGAGTAAAAAAAAAATGAATGTTAATGTTAAGTATAAAATATTGAATTATTGTTTAAAACCTATTATATATATACCAGATCAATTGATGGAGGGATATTAGCAATTGTAAAAAAATTTGCAGTTTCTAGATTTGCTAGTTTTATTGCAACGTCATTGTAGTCTCGACATCGTTTTAATGCATCAAGTGTAGCACGATGCTTTGTTCTCCTAATAATACATACAAAAGAAATGTATTTTTAAAATAATGTGTGTGCGTGGGTGTGTATATAATTCATATTATTTTATATTTTATTACACGTGGGGAATCACAGTTTGCTGTTTGAGATAATTGTATGACCATGTGCTTAGTTATTATTTTCATTATTATAACATTTACTCTGATTTCATAATGTACTTTTGCCGCGACGTTTTTCGTTAGCAGGATCCATTGTTGCGTAAGCATTTCGGCGTCTCAAGTTCCTCTCTTCACGTAGACTCTCATTACAAGCATACCGCTCCCTATAAATAAATAAAGGAGTGTGCAGCACAAAACGAAAAAACCATTTATTATATTATAGGTGTGAATAATACATATACCGGCCCTTTGCATTTTTAGCTGTGAATTCTAAAGCCTACAAAATCAATTCCATAGAAAAAATAAGTCCACACAGAACCCCTAATGGGCATCATTTGCGTTAAATAGGGAAAAGTCGGGGACACCGGGATACAAGGTTATTAGAATGTAATCAACTATCCTTACAGTAGTATACAGAAAAGACTCAAAAGAACACTACAGATCATGATCATTTGTATTGCATCAAAATAAATATAATAGCAAATGTATATATTACTGAGTATAACGTAAAATCTACTGTTTACACAAGTCAAAACATATCAAGAACCCAGACAGTACAACTTATTACTGCAATTTAAGATTATGGAATATGCCTTCCTTACCAAAATATCATACCTGGTTTCCCTCTTATGGAAGGCCAGCCCTCAATATTCATTGATCTTGTAAGGGTTTTCATGCAAGTTATGATGCAAGCTCCACTTTCCCCTCAAGGAAAGACATCTACCACCTTCACCACCTCACCCCCACCCAAGGCATCAGGAAACAGTCAATCCATGTTCAGAAAAGCGAAGTGAAACAAAATACCACCATCTAATTTAATGAGTT